CTCATTATTTTTAGTGATTTTGCATTGGAAAATTGTTTAATTTGATAAAATATTATACATGGTCTATATATATGTATACGGTGTTGTGTAGAGGATATAAGAGAATATACAGTGTATAAGAGATTAAAGAATATTACGAAAAGGTATAAATGAATTTATATACAGCAGTAACCGAAATTGTCATAATAATAAAAATGGGATTTAAGTTTTATTTTTATGTATTTTTCAAAAACATATAAAACACGAGAATATTTTTTTTATATCCGGTTTAGGATTTGTATATAAATTCGTGTGTATATCTGTTTAATTTGTATATTCAAGTACCGTATTATGTTAGTTAATGTGTATATTTTCGTATATGCTATATGTATGTAATTTGTGCATATGCTGCATATTGTATAAGATTTATTAAATTCATTCATGTTTTATGGAATTTTATTATATAATTTTGGTGTTTCTTTCTCTTGTTGATAAATTTTAGAAATTTCTAAATTTTAGATATGAATTCATAATTTTTTTTTTGGCAAAATATACCCATATTTGTGGCAAAAATAAAATTTTTACTTTTTAAACGTAAATTTTTTTTTTGTGGTAATTTTATTAATTATTTTCAAAAAAAAATTATTTATATATTTTTCTTATTATATTTTTATTATTATATTTTTCTACTTTATCATATTCGTTTATGCAAAATTTCAGAAGTGCATAACATAATATACGATCAAATGAGTTTGGAACTTGTAATAGCAACTACCATCACAAATCAAGAAATTTTAACTAGTTTTATTAAATACAAGAGGCCCTAATAAAATATTTATTTGTGTAAAATTTCAATACTGTAGGGCTGCAATGACTATACCTCGATGACATTCAATTTATATAGGGTTCTGCCATTTATATTATTCTTAATCATTTGTGAAAATTTGATGAGTTTAACTCAATTGGCTTTTTAGTTATAGTTAGGGTGGACGGACGGGCGGATGAACAAACAGACGGACAAATATGTTATGAAACTTATGTTTATATCTCAGGCTATTATTTCTTAACATACAAACGCTAAAACAAATTAATAATACATTGGCACGGGTATAGAAATAAACCATATATACTGTATATAGGAATGCAATAAGGTGTTAAATAATTTTTGCAAATATTTTTCTAGAAAAAATGAATATTTTTCAGAAATTATTAACTGTAGTTCAATTAATTTTTATTATGCAATTAATAATTAGTTCAATTTATTTTAAATATTAAGATTATTTCTTGCCTATACATAGTAAAATATGTCAGACACAATAGTTCGATTATTTTTCATCTCTTATTTTTTAATAACGCTTTGTGACGCAAAAAATACAAAAATTGTTAGAAGGCCCTAAAATTAAATTATACAAAAGAAATTAAAATCAAATAAATTACATTTTGTAAATATATCAAATACACATTTATAATTATATCCAAATAATTCTGTCTAAGTATCCAGATTATCCGTATAACATATATTCGTATTTATTTAAAGTCTAATTGTACAATAAGAATAATATTTTCCTTTATTCAATGCTCTACATTTAATTTTTTATTTTGTGTAATAAAACAATTTTTAGTATATGAAAAGCAAGTGCCGCTCTCAATACAAAATTTAAAAAACGTTATTATGAAACACTTTAAAAGCATTGCAAATTTTACAAAGTGTATAATGCATTAATCGGCTCAATTTAAATTTCATTTTTTTAAAATTTCAAAATTTAAGTACAAATACAAAAAACAAAAACCTCATTTGTTTGTGTTTTTTAAAAGAACTTAGTTTTATTTTTCAAATCTGGAACATTTAAACCACCGCACGTCTTAAAAAAAAACAACAACTTTTATTTTTTTTAATTTCTTTTAAAAAAAATAAAAAAAAAATTCATAATTTGTTTCATTTCACCTTGACAACTTTACCAGAAAGAGCAAAAAACAACAAGTAAGAAGAGAGAAAAAAAAAAAACAAAATTTAAAACAAAAGAAATCTGATTAAATTAAAAGAAAGAAAAAACAAAATAAAAAAATTTTTCGCTTTTTAATTTTTCCAAAATGTGTGTGTTTGTTTGTATAACAGAAAAAAACTTTGCTATACTTTGTTTCTTTACTTGTTATATTAATATTTTTAACCCCAATAAACACAAACCATATTTTATGTACAAGTTGATTTCAAAAGTCCCAAAGCACTATTATTTTGTATATAAAAATAAATATGAAGAAAATTTTAACACTTCAATCGGTTTATAAAGAAAACTTATAAAATTATAAACATAACCTAAAAAAAAAAAACAAATAATATTGAAAAAGCGATGATTGCACTTGTCTTTTAAAAAAGAAAATTATAGTTTCTTTCCTTTCCAACAATAATAAATAAATTTTTTCTTTTCATAAATTATAATTATAAATAAAATGTTTAAAATATTACAGAAATTTAAATGAGAACAAAATTGAATTTAATTTTGATGAATATTTTAATAAAATTAAAAAGAAATATTTAAAATTCACGTATTTTTTTTGAATTAAAATGAAGGTTACAATAACAACAGCGATAAATTAAAATTCTTTATAATTTTAATATTCAAATTGTTTCAATTATATAATTGTTTATTTCTGATCTAATTTACTTCTAGTACATACTATAATTTTTAATTTTGTTTTTGAAATATTTCTTCAAGAATTCAATTTAAACCGTTTAATGTATTTAATATTAATATAGTGATAAAAATGGAAGAAATATTTAAAAAAAAACAAAGGGTATTCGAATGATTTAATGAAAACCCCTTAATTTATGCAATTTTAATTCTTATAAAATATACTACTTTTAAATGTATTATTTTTTTTTACACAAGTTTCGTAATTGAAATTATGAGTATTTTAAAATTTGTTTAAATAAATGTGCTGATAAAACAAGTTTGTCTCATTTTATAAATTCATTGAGGAGAAGATATCATTAGAAAAGTATTTAATAGCATTTATGATTTGTTTTGCTAAAATACTAGTAATATTTATATCACGTATTGGGAACAAAAATTATTACGGTATGAATGACAAGTCCTCCATATAATATGTTAGCTTCATACTATATGTCATTTCAAAGCTTTGCCTAGTGTTGAACATAATTGATCATTTCAATCGTAACTCAATTTGTATGAGTTAATATAGAGTGAAATTATTCAAAAAAAAGAAATCTGTCCTCTCCTTGAATCAGTACTATTTGTATGAAGATTTACGGTATAATAAACAGATATTACCGTAAGCTTAAATTTTAAAATTATTAGCTGAAAATCTAAAAAATTGCATATTAATTTTGAATTTCTATTTCAATTATTTGCGATCTACAATTGCTACAATTATTTTACATTATTTTTACTCATTTCTTATAAACTCAATCGGCATATTGTTAATGAATGACCTTGAACTTTTTCATTTTATTATTCAAAATAAATAAAAAAAATATATTATAAATTATGATCTATGTATTTAAAAAATTTAATTTTTGAAGCAAAATAAAAAAAAATCGAAATTTTAATGATACTATACATTTAAAGTTTTTTTTACGAATCCTATTTAAAGATTTCAAAATTTATTCCACTTAATATCTAGACGTCTGTACAACATTATTAACCAATTTAATATGTGAGTAATATTTTAATTTTACTAACATATAATATGCAAAACTTAAACGACTGAAGAATTCAATTATTAAATTTCTGAGTTAAAAAAAAAATTAATTTTTAGCTGAAGGCTATGGCAGAAATGCATACATGCTTAATTACAAAATTTGAAACATTTTCGTTAATAGTTTAATTTTAAATAAAAAAAAAAGATACGCTTGATCACCGGAATTAGTATGGAAATATGCTTGTATGTAATTCCATATATTCTTGCAATTGCTATATAAATACTATTGCCCCAACGTTCAGACATTGAGTGAAAAACCCTATTTTAAATAAAATTTTCAAATACCAACATTCTATATAATTATTGTTGGTTCACTTATTGTTTTTTTCACAAAAATTCAGTTTCCAATCAAATTTTAATATTTTGTGTATAAAATTTTGCATTTTTTCTATTCTTCTATTTTGATAAATTCATTTCTATCCTCTGTTTTCTCTGATTTATTCAAAAAGAATATTTTTAAAGCGTAAAAAATTTTCACGGTTTAATAAAATTTTATTATTTCTTCTATGTACCATTCATTCCCTGGTTTATTTTGAAATATTTTTTTTATGTTAAAAACTTTCCTTCCCTTTTTTTCCTCTCATATGATATTATCCTTCATTTCTTTTTACAATAATTTTTCCTGTATTTTTTTTCCTTATTTTCTTTTTTTTTTTGTTTTTTATTAAATTTAATTATTCTCGTTCACATAAATTTTCATCAAAATCAGAATGTACATAATATCTACACACATATGCACATAAAATGTACTCATAAAAAAAAAACCCCCGTTATTCAAAAGAGAAAAAATATAAAAGCATAAAAATGAACTGCACGCCTAAAAATATGTAAAATATTTGAAGCATGTATAAAATAACAAGATATGAAAAAGAAAAATATAAAAAAAAAGAGAAAACAACTTCGTGTTACATTTATTATCTCTTCTACCGCATAAACTAAACAATTTCTGTATCAACATGTAAAACATATTATGTACAGAATAATTTTGTGTTACCATATCACATATTATATAAATGATATCGCTCCTATAGATATGCAATGTGTATGAATACAAAATATTTTTTAATAAAGAATTGTAATTTTTTTCCGTTTTTCAACATTGAATGTATTTTTTTTTTTTTTTGTTTGTTAATATACTTAATATATCAAATTTAAATATGTCTTATATACATAATATACTTATATGTATATACGTATATACACTAAATGTAATATGATATATATTTCTTTCTCTATATGTTTGTCATTTTCATATATATATATATAATTTTCATTTTCATTTCATTTTATTTTTTGTATAGGTTCTGGAAAATCATATACAATGATGGGTTCACAGGATCAAAAGGGTATAATACCAAGATTATGTGATGAACTTTTTGCCCATATAGCTGATAAAACAACAAATGATCTTATATATAAAGTAGAAGTATCATATATGGAAATATATAATGAAAAAGTACACGATTTATTGGATCCAAAACCAAATAAACAATCATTAAAAGTAAGAGAGCACAATGTATTAGGACCATATGTTGATGGATTATCACAGTTAGCAGTAACATCATTTAAGGTAAAATTAATATGATATATATATATATATATATTTTTTCTTGTGTATTATTTATTATATAGAATTTACATATATTATGTATCTACGCTATAAATATTTTCAGCGATTGTCATAAACTTGTTCTCAACAATTTATTCTTCCCTATTTTTGCATTTGTCAGCTACTTATACTATACACACATATTCTGCAATGATTAAAAAAAATTTTATGGTATATTATATTAGTAACCTGTAGTATATTGTATACACAACTCTGCCTAAACTTACGCCTACTAGATTTATGGAATGGACATTAATATTTCAAGGTCAATACTATGTAAGGCAAATGAATTTTAAATGATACTTGTTATCGTAATCCTAAATCAAGTGTGACTGTTTTTCTAACACATTGCAGTTAAAATTAATGTGCAGTGAAATATAATGATCTAACTCTTGTTGATCAAATAAATAATATAACAAATAAGATAATTAATTATGGCTACCTACATTGAAACCGTTTTCTTAAAATAAAAGTTTTGAGATTTTTATCAATAATTAATTATGGCTACCTACATTGAAACCGTTTTCTTAAAATAAAAGTTTTGAGATTTTTATCAAGAGCAGAGATATTACTGGGGGGCGTACTCTTTACAGTAGATCGATTTTGCTCATTTGCAATACCCAATATACGTCCACTAAAAATTTTTTTGCCGCTAGTTCTCTCCTTTTTTGAATGAGCGTTTCAATAAGTGAACAAACGGATGGTTATTGCTACACGGAACTATAATACGATTCTGAGCAGGAATATATATTTCGTGAGCTCAAAAATGCTTTTTTCTTAGTGTTATGCATGACAGACGACTATAACAATAAAATCATACCTGAAATAGAATATACAAATTTTAATTTCCAATGTAGCTGGGTGATAACTTCAAATTTAAATTACCTTTTAAGTTAATCTGATTTAACTCTATATAACACTTACAATGTCTTAGTGTAAGTTTGATCAACCATACATATATTAAATTTTTTCTCCTCTACTTCATTTTTAATTTAATAAAAGAAAACAAGTTCTTATTTCCCCTAATTTCAAGAGTTTTTCTTTGTGTTTCTTTTGTTATAACTTTATAACCATGATATATTAAACCCGAAAGGATATTTCTCAAGAAAATAATAAAAACAAAGCAAAACCTTGCAACTATTTTTAGGATTAAAGCAATCATATTAAACAAATATATGAGCACATATGTGTATGTGTACACTTTAATGTATACATAATATGGTCAATTTTAAAAGTTAAATATTAAATTTAGGCTATCCATGTCCTTTATTCCTAATACATTTACTATAAATATAATTTTTTTTCCTTTTCTGGAGAAAATTAACTTTTCGACAAATCAAATTGGGAAAAGACGATAATCTTATAAAAATAAATTAAGGAAAATGGAATATTTTTGTTTTAATAATTGAAAAGTTTTCTCCTAAATAGGCCTAAAAGTGGACGAATTCAGGATATTTGACAAAAAGTCGTTTTTTGTTGTTATTTCTATTTATAAATACAAAATTTTGTTTCAATATTTATTAGTCCTTTACCTAAAATACATATAAGATTTTTAAAAATTGAAAACTTTTAAATATCTGTATTTCATTCCAATCATTTAATTTAATTTTAGCTATTACCCTCTAAACAAGAACCCTGTCATTAATTTAAATTTATTTTAATTTTTAAAGACGTGAAATTCTCAACCATCCAAACTTTTCTCATAAATTTTCTGTAATTTATCATCATTTGCATTAATTTAAAATCAATACCCTAATAATTTTATTTTTTTGATTTATTAAGGATATCGATAATCTTATGACAGAAGGTAATAAATCAAGGACAGTTGCAGCAACAAATATGAATGCTGAATCATCAAGATCACATGCTGTTTTCTCTGTAGTCTTAACACAAACATTAATTGATGCTCAGTCTGGTGTAACAGGTGAAAAAGTATCCCGTATGTCACTGGTTGATTTAGCGGGTAGTGAAAGAGCTGTAAAAACTGGAGCTGTTGGTGATCGTCTTAAAGAAGGTTCTAACATAAATAAGTAAGTTATTATTAACTTTCCAATTTTTAATATACGAAAATTTCTAAAATAAATTTTCAAAAAAAAAAAAAAACAGGTCATTAACAACACTTGGTATTGTGATATCAAAATTAGCTGATCAATCTAGTGGAAAAAATCGTAACGATAAATTTGTACCATATCGTGATTCAGTTTTAACATGGCTATTAAAAGATAATCTTGGTGGTAATTCAAAAACAGTTATGGTTGCAACTATAAGTCCAGCTGCTGATAATTATGAAGAAACATTATCAACGTTACGGTATGCTGATCGTGCTAAACGTATTGTTAATCATGCCGTTGTTAATGAAGATCCAAATGCTAGAATTATAAGAGAATTAAGATTAGAAGTTGAACAATTAAAGAATATGCTAAAACATGCAACGGTACATATAAAAAATTTATTATTTTAATATAAAATAATTAATTATTAAAAATTTAAAAAATATTTTATGTAGGGTTCACCAGTTGGTGATCGAGTTGATATACATGATAAACTTGCCGAGAATGAAAATTTAATGAAAATAATGTCACAAACATGGGAAGAAAAATTAGTTAAAACTGAACGAATACAAAATGAAAGACAACAGGCACTTGAAAAAATGGGTATTAGTGTACAAGCTAGTGGTATTATGGTCGAGAAAAATAAATATTATTTAGTCAATTTAAATGCTGATCCGTCCTTAAATGAATTGTTGGTTTATTATTTAAAGGTAATAAATTATACTGTCCCATTTTGTTTTTAAATTTGCCTTATTTTTTTTTATATTATTCAACTTTATTTCCAATATAGGAACGCACATTAGTTGGTGGTCGTAGTATTAATGGCCAACAACAAGATATACAATTATCCGGCCTTGGTATACAACCAGAACATTGTATAATAACAATTGAAGATGGTGGTTTATTTATGGAACCAATACAGAATGCACGTTGTTTTGTTAATGGTTCACCAGTTATACATAAAATACCATTACATCATGGTGATCGTATATTATGGGGTAATCATCATTTTTTTAGAGTTAATTGCCCAAAAAGTGCCAATAATATGAATAATATGAGTTCTGAACCGCAAACACCAGCTCAACAAATTGATTATAATTTTGCCAGAGATGAAATAATGCAAAATGAATTGAGTAATGATCCAATACAAACAGCAATTGCTGCTTTAGAACGACAACATGAAGAAGATAAACAAGTTGCATTAGAAAAACAAAGACAAGTAAGTTTTGTAAAATATTAATTTCCAAATTGATAAATTTAAAAAACAACAATCCATTGAATAACTTGTTTTAAGCAATATTAGGTTCTGAATCATAGCAAAGAAATTCCATTATAGGTTCTGATTTTTCATATTATTTTATTAAAATATTGAATATTGGATGAATGATGAGTTATGTGGTTTTAAATTTAAAGAAATACAATAAGAATAGTTTTTCGAACATTTCTGCCGAAAATATTATCGTTCAATATCATTTTCTAACGCTGCAATCGATTTGCGTTCTCGATATCAAAATTATTTCAACGTCCCCCAATAGAGAATAATATAAAGGTATCAAATTCCAAAATCACTACTGTCAATTAAAAAGTCCAAAATGTAAAATTAATTGTTTACTTTACGAATTCTCAAAATCTCTAATATGTCAAAAATTAACACATAATTTGAAAATGTTGCTCAAATGTTTTTAAATGTTATCAACGTTAAATGGCAAACAGAACTGAGTCGATTCCGAATATCGCGTAAAATGTCATAAATGCAAAAATAAAATCACAAACAGTCAAACATGAAAACAATCTTCCGTTATTATCAAATCCGTTATAATCAAAATTTATAATACAAATTTAATATTAACAGATTTAAACTTCTATTAATATTAAATTATATCGAGAGAAATCTAATACCTATTATTTGTATTGTGTTATGCTATAATTTCATTCAGTTTGGTAATTTCACATGAAACGAATAAGAAAACCCTAATTCCCTTAAAATATTTTATAAGCTTGTGTAATTTTAATGGTATTATTTTTATTCAATAAGCTTTTTATCTACGTTATATTTTTGGAAGATATGGGAATACAAAAAATAATATGTAGATACATATATTGTGTAAAAGTATAGAAGAGACAGACAAGGTCATAAATTTTGTAATGATTTGACATCTTTCCTTTTTTTTTTCAATTTTTATTTACATTTATTTGTATCATAAGACTTTTATATGCATACATACATTCATGTACGTTTGATACACGGTTATAACTGTTATACAAATTAAACTCCTATGTTAAAAGAAAAGAGGAATTTAATTTAGTCACCATAAATGTGATTGTTCTTATTATTATCATGATTATTATTATTATTATTACAGTAAAATATATTTTTAATATATTTCAAAGGATTATTGTGCATACTTACTTCATTATTAAATTCTGCAAGCAGTTTCAAATCCTCGTATATATATATTTATGTGTCTGATTATGCATTTAACTTATTGATTACATTTTTTGTTTAAATCTTCAAATTTTGATTTATTATCTTGACAATAGATAGGGATTGTCTTTGGTTTTATTTTTGTTTCTTTTTTTTTTAATTTACTTCTCATGGTTTTTTGTTTTCCCGATTTCCAACTAAATAATCGTATCGGAGAAACGTAAGCTTTTGTTATGAGAATTTTCTTACTTGCTTAAATTTTACAGACATTTGTCTACTCCTACATAATTTTTTTTATAATTTTCTTTAAATAATTTTCATTGTTTTTTATTTGAAACCATTATATTTAATATGCAAAATTTATTTGACATTTATAGTGAATTTATTTCAAAAATATACTATAATGACATGGAGTGCTTTCAAATAAGAATTTTGAAATAAATGACTGAGGACGAGTACGCAATTCATTATACATAGATAAATTGTCTTTAAATTGGGGACAACAAAAATCACTTACATCTAGTTCAACTGTAACATATTGTACACAATGGATATAAAACACTTATTATAACATTCAATAAAATTTTACTCATATTTATACGGTATAACATTTTAATTTTCACTAGCCACGTAAATTTACTAAAAGTTAGTTAATTATAATTATTTGAAATATATTCCAAGTTATGCATTTAAAGTTTTATAATAAGTATTATTTTCATTGAAATTATAATCAATCGTCTTATTTATTTGTCTAGTTTAATTATAAAATTTTAAATGTTTCACGCTAAACTTTTTCCGAAAGTTCACTAATCACTAAACGTTAAAAATACTTGGCGTTAATAGTTAAATTCAATTGTCAGAGAATTCTACCTCTGTAAATAACATGCTATTTGAAATTTTATGACATTTAAATTTTTTTCAATTTTCATAATAATGATAACAATCATAGACAAATTTTGGACATCTGGTGGTATTCCTCATTTATTTGCCGTTCCCAAGCATAATTTTCAATAATTTATTACCATTTTGAAGGTTTCAAATTTTCTTCATTGTATATTTACGAAATATCTATTTAAAACAAAATAATTTTTAAATAAAGAAAAATATTGTTAACTAATCGAGAAATATACGAAATTTATAGACAATAATTTAGAAATGAAAAAAAAAGACAAAGAACAAACAATAAATAAAAAAAAAAATTGTCATAAGGAAATTTTTTTTTTATGTTGGTTTTTGTTCCTCTGTTGTTTTCCTAAAGTGAATGTCAAGTCAAGTGGGAACAATAAAATGAGAAATTTTTCTTTTATAAAATATTTTCCATTTTTTTTTTCTCTTTTTTCCTTTATGATGATATATTTTTATTGTTTTGCAATAAAAAAAAAAATATTGTAAAGAAAAACACTTCTGGAAAAATGCCAGAGAACAAAAATTGAAAATTTTTACCAATAGATAATATTGTAATTGGTTATCCTTTTATTTTCTTATTATTGTTATTATTATCATTATTATGATTTTTTTTTTAAACTGAATGTTATTTAGTGAGAATTTTTTGCCTTTTGTTGTATTAAATAGGGGCCCTGTATACAATATAAAGATTTTGTATATAATATGAAAACAATTAGAATGATTTAATTTGCAATTAAGTTTGCAATCGTGTTTAATAGGTGTTTTTTTTTTAAATTTTTTATTCTTACATTAAAAATATAAAGAAGAAGAAAAACTGATCCTTTTATATTTTTTTTATTGTATTTATAAATGGATTAGCGATTAAATTGACTTGAAAACAAAACAATTTTTGTTTTTAAATTTTTTAAAGGATGCTACTGGTTTCTTATTAAGTGGGAACGATTACATTTTAAACCCATCCCTACATTTCAAAATATTTCATAGTAATTCACAAAACCATCTAATATTTATTTTAAAAATCAATTTTATCCTTATCTATTCAATAAATTATTGACGAAAGATTTTATTTTAATTATAATATCATATTTAGTTAAAAATCTTATTCTCTTTATTTGAAATAAGCCCCCAATTATTATATTGTAAAATGTTAGGGTTCATTATATTGTGATGTTGCTCTTTTCTTTCTAATAATTACACTTTATTATTAATTGTATACATAGATTGCATACTTTATATTAATTTATTGTATTAAAATCACTTTATACTGCATTATAAAAATTTTGTCTACTTATGTGAATTTTTTTTTATATTCTATTATTATAAAAATTAATAATGACATTGACATTCTAAAAAAAAACATTCAGAAAAATAAATAGGAAAAAGACTTGAATCTGTTTTTTTTATGTCATATTGAAATTTCTAGTTCATAAGAGTTTCTAAAGAAAAAATAGCTATACTTAAAACTTTTAGATTATAATCTAACGTTATTACTAAAAAAAAAAACTCTGTTATGTTATTTTGTTAAATCACCCCGTAATTATATTTCACTTATACTAAAAAAAAAATAAAAAAATTTGTTTAGAGAAATAATTTCTTTTTCATTTCGGCAGGTGGCCTTATATTAGTTTATAGAAGAAAGACGTCAACATTTTTGATATTTAAATTTGTAGGTTAGTTTTTACTCTTTTAAAAAATAATAATTCTATAAGGAGAACTTTTCCGTTTACAAAATATATTCTTAAATTTTTTGACTACATTTTACTATATCTATTGAGTTTTCCAATAAGAGTGAAGAATTATGAATTCATCTCATCTCGATTGCGGTTACAAAAATAAATTGGATGGATTCAATTTTCGGTAATTATATGCAATATTCTGGGTCTTAATTCACAAATGCTATACATTCAATATTTCTTTTCAAAGCAACAATAGTGTCGGCGTATTCTTTTGGATGAAATTAATGCAAATTTTTACTTTATGGTCTCTACAATTTGTATAGGGCAACAGTTATTAAACAGTCCACAAAAAAATATATTGTAATACCTTTGAATTACAATTTGTCACTGGCCAAAATTTAATGCTAGGCATAAAGTTTTTAATGCGATAAACTGATTATTTCATTAACTGTATGACATTTCACTTTGTTTTGTTGAAACTAAATGTTGACGAAGTCCATACCCTTCAGCTATGTGGTCACAGGAAATGGTTTAATTAGTTATCTACATAGCACTCACTAATAAATTGCAAAGTTTTTGAAATTTTTATACAATTTTTATTTCATATCTAAATAAAGTTTTCCATTCAAATCAACCGACGACATTTTTGATCCAATAAAATAAACAAAAAAAAATTTATGTTTAAAATTATAAAACTTTCTTACTTGACCCAATTTCTTACATATCCTTACAAAAAATTTCTGGGTTTTCTTTTTATAATCTTGTAAAAAAAATATACTATATTTAATGTTCATCCTATATTAAATGATTTTTTTTTTCCTCTTTAGTCATTTAAATTTTTAAGTTCATATCATAAGATCCTACAAATACCATTATCGCCTGTTAAGGAACCATAACCATTAAGAAATTAATTAAGAAAAATAAAAAGTCAAAAAAAAAAATTTTCTTTTTTGTTTTACAAAAATTTACTAAAGAAATATTGCATACATAAAAAGTTTTTTTTTTTTTTTTAAATGTTTGTAAAAATATTTTAGAGGAAGTTTTTACATAATTTACCAAACAATTTAATTTTTTACAAAAACAAAACTTGGAGGATATAATTTTTTACAAAATGACATGAAATATATTTAATGTTAAAAAACACAACATTTCTGTAGCAGTAAATTGTACAATTTTGTATAAGTACGTAAAATGTGAAATAAAATTTTTATAACATAAGTTGTAAATACCTAAGCATCCTCTATACAAATTAAACAACAACCCAACCGTATATTTATTTTAAAGAACATGTTTTCATGTTAAGAACGCAATCTGCAATCATAATGAAACGATTATAATACAGAAATACCAGTATTTCCTGTCAATGGCAATCCAATTTCAGTTGATCATCTAGTATAAACTAAAAGAAAAACAAATAATTTTGTAAAAATATTGGGTCCATCATATACCAATTAAAAACGAATAATAAGCTATGACATTGTAAATTATTCTTGTTTCTTTCAAAATTATGATTTCGTTTAATAAAATTTTTCAGCTAGATTATTCCATTCAACATAATATTTACTAATTAATCTATACAAAATTTTTAGCCAAAGAACAAATATAAATTTTGCATATCTTTAGGCAAAATATCGTATAGTATACGTCATCTAAGTTTCTTAAAGTTTAAATTTATACTGTAAATTGTTATCTCTACCATCCTAGTTATAAAAAGTTCTCTTCTTTTTTTTATTTTTTTTTTTGGTTTTTTATTGAATACAAATTTATTTTTCCCTTTTGTTATTTATTTAATGTGGTTTTAAATTTTTAATACTCTTGTTATCCAATTTTAATTAATAGGCTAGAAATTTAAATTTCCATACAATTTTTTTGATTTCTGTGGTTTAAGGATTACTCAAAGCTATCACAAATTGAGATGCATTAAAACATTAAAATATTCTTGTTATTTTTTTTTGTTTCGATTTTTGTTTAATAAATAAAAATTTGATTAGAGCTTGGACTGTAATATTAACTTGATTAACTAAGTATCCTTAATTTATTTAGAAAGTCAAATTGTATATGAAAAACCTTTAATTTTTTGATTTTATTTTTTTTTAACAAATTTAATTTCCCAAATGACAATTGGTTTTTCGGTTAGTGTTTTATAAAAAGATTGTATATATGTTTAAACATGTATATTTAGAGTAGGAGTTTTCCCATTGATAAAAAAATTTGTTGGTTTTTTGTTGAAAAAAATAAATTGTAAGAAGTGGTGTAATTTTTAATATATATACAACAATTAAATATTTTTTAAAATATGAAGTTAATTAGTTTAAAATAAAGTACTTTGGGGCCATTGAAATCCCTTGTCGACTAGCAGGAAAATTCTACAAGATTTATTTCAGAAGAATACCTCATATGATTCCAGAATTGAATATGAATTTATGTTTTGTTGCCGTAACTCTCTTTCTCTCCCCCTCGACATTTCTCTGTGTAAAATATAAAATAATTTGTGGAAGCATGAATTATACTAATTAGATAGCTACTTATAAACATATGGCCTTTATTATAAAGAATTAATTTTATTTTAATTTTTTTTTTTAGGAATATGAGAGACAATTTCAGCAATTACGTAATATATTATCACCAAGTACACCATATCCACCATATGCTCCATATGATCCATTACGTTTAGGTAAAATAACACCATGTACACCAACATCACAAATGCGTGTTGAAAAATGGGCACAGGTGAGTTAATATAAAAATGTGTTATATAAATTAATATACTCGTAACAAGCACGTAAATAATAAAATAATTTAATGTTATATTAAGTTGTAGAAATAAATAAGAAATAAGGCAGCGATAATTTTACATTTAATAAATTTAAACATTAAAATTTTCAGAAACTATTGCCCATTTTCTATTAAATCACATTACTTTTGAATTTGAACTGTTTTTATTTTAAGATAATATGAAATTTTTAATAGAAAATTTCCAAGTAACTAATTATACATAATAATGGGTTTCCATTCTTTTATATTTTACTTTAAATGTTTAACAAAATTTAACTTAATAATTTAAACAAACACTTATTTGCTATACAAAATATTAAATACTTTCTTTAAACAAAAACTTAAGGCCTCAGTATACTTAATCAGATACTAATGTATATAAATGTTCATCCTTTCTGCATAATATTCAAGTCCAAGGTGTAAGAACAATAAATATATAATATTACTTCTTGTATATTCATATACAATAATTATTATTCTTTCCATAATCCTTTTACAAAACGGAGCTAAAAATAAATTAAAATATGAAAAAAAAATCTCTATTTTAGACCCTACCCTTCCTTTTTTTGTTTTTATATAAACAGCATGAAATCCCTACAAAATTTATTATAACTCATAATACACTAAAATAATATTATAATGCGTAAACAATATGTATAAGTTATATTGTATATTGTATTCTTCCTTATATAATAAAATTATGAATTTTGAATTGGGGAATTCCTTTTTGATATAATATACACACAACAAGAAATTAACACACCTTTATGATGACTTTTATATGCGTTTAATAATATAGGAAAAACAACAAAACTGTAATAAAAACAAGATTTTATAAAAACAAAATCATCTTTATATAAAATTTCATTAAAAATTTAATCATTTTAAGAAGAAATATGTATATATATATATGTATACAATACACACAATGTAATTTAAGAAATAGCAAGTCCTTTCTTCTTTAACCCAAAACACGAAAAGAACAAAAAATTAAGAAAAAACGGTAGGATCCTGTTTAGATTTTTAATTTTTATGTCTCTATTAATTTTGATAATCTCATCTTTGAAATACCCTATTATATATGTATATTTTATATATTTATATTTAAATTGTTATAAAGGAAACTTGATGTAGATCTATTTATATTTTTGAATATTTATAATTACCGACAACCGGTTTAAATATAACACTAATCCAATTTTAATTATAATTTTTCTTTTTAAATATTTTTTTACATGCTTGTATAATTCTTGGAAATTTCTATTAATAATTAATAATTTTTTTTTTGTAATTCAATAGGAAAGAGATGAAATGTTTAAAAGATCATTGGGTCAACTAAAAACAGATATAATGCGTGCAAATGCTCTTGTACAAGAGGCAAATTTCTTAGCTGAAGAAATGGAAAAGAAAACCAAATTTAGTGTTACTTTACAAATACCACCGGCTAATTTGAGTCCAAATAGAAGGGTAAGTCAATAAAATAATTTGTTGAAAATTGAAATTTGTTTTGAAATGAAGAAAAAATTTTCGGTTCATTGTTTTTAAAGTAAATCGCCTGAATTTGTTAAATGATTTATGAAAAATTTAATTTTCATACTTTCATTTTATACCAAAATTTTAATTTAATTAAATTTTCCATTATTCTTAAAGAATGTACTGCTAATATATTCTACTCATTTAAAACTAAATTTTTTTCCAAATCAATTTTTTGCATGAAATTTAATTTCTTTTAATACCTTGCTTCTGTTTGACACTTCTATATTTTAGTCTCCTTCCGCACTATTCACATTATTAATTACATAAATCAATTTTTTTAATTTTTTTCTCTTTCTCTCTCATTTTTACTAAGTCATTTATATTTACTTTTATAACACATTTTGAGAAAGTATGAAACATGTGTTAAAAGTACAATGACACAAATTGTCATGACCTCCTCAATTTCTTTACTCCAAACTCATCAATTTCGCTTTTATATGTACCCATATACTTATTATTTAAATTTTTTATTAATTTTAGCGTGGAGCATTTGTTAGTGAACCAGCAATTCTAGTCAAACGTATTAATTCAGGAAGTCAAATTTGGACAATGGAAAAATTAGAAAATAAATTAATTGATATGAGAGAAATGTATCAGGAACATAAAGAAGGTGTTTTGGTAAGTTGAAAAAAAAAATGCAAAAATTTTTTTTTTGTAAGATTCAAAAAATTGGAAAATTAATTAAAAATATCTATATTAAAAACAAAAGAAGCAAATTCTTGTTTTGAATCCAATTCGTTTTTAATATTATTGCAATTTAATTTTTTATAATAATTCCTAGCCAATAATTGAACCGGAAATTGATGATGATGACGATGAGGTAATTTTTCATTTCTTTGTATTTGACTTAGAACACAAGGTTCCCTTCAATTTTCTTGATTTTTCTGAATTTTATTGATTTTTTTTTTGTTTGTTTCTATTTTCGAAATTATTTTCCAATTTATAATTTTGCCTTGTGGTATTTTTTTTAAATATGTATTTTAATAATTTTTTTATTTTTTCCGAAATTTTTTTTGTTAAATAATTCTATATTATATCATAATATTAATGATTTTGCACTTTTATATTTATAAAATATTTACAAAAAAAAAAAATATTTCCCACTTATTTATATTAAAATTTTAAGTATTTGAAAGAGAAAATCAATAAATTTTTTGTACTTTTTTTTAATTTTATGATGATTTTTCAAAAAAAAAAGAAAATTTTAAAATATGTTAAGATTGAATATTATTCTGTCGGTTCCAAGAGGAAATATAAATATTTAAATAATTATATCCTTCAGTTTTTCGTATCTGGTGTAATATTTAATTTAATTTTAAATTGATAAATATTATTGCCCAAAATGGTTATGGAACGCAAACTATTATAATATTGCAAGTTGAACCCATATTATAATGTACCGGAACTAATTTTTCTCTATTTTTTTAAATTTACAATAAATGAAATATACCAACTTCATTCTTTCTATTCATTCTCTCTGTCAAAATTACATCAAATAAGTAATAATATTATCAATATCAAACTTTGTTAAATGTCGGAAAAAAAATATGCTACTGTTTTTCTCAATCTACTACTCTCACTAATTAATCCGCTCTCACTAATTAATTTAAATTAGTCCACTATCATTTCTCAAAGAAATATTTCAATAAAATATTAAAAATTTTACATTTTACATTTTGCATTGTTCAATTCGCAAATACAAACCACATAAGTTAATTTGATTTTAACGTTATCACATACCACAATAAAAATTATAATTATAACAAATATATAACAAACTTTAACTGGCTATATATACTCGTAATATACATATGAATGTATGTATTTTATATACATAAATATTTCTTTAATTTAAATTGATTTTGTATTTTTGTTATACTATTTCGTTATTCATATTTGCCTATGCAGTAAAAATATTCATTTTGAATAAAATTTTACTACAACGATAACTATGACCCTCACAATAAAATTAATTTTAAATAAAAATGAAACCAATAAAAGGAACATTTAATTAAAAAACAAATAATTTATTAAATAATATTTATATACCACCTAAAATATATATGTATGTATTTGAATATAATATTGCTTTAATATTGCAATAAAAATTATAAATGTATGTATATGGTTAATTATACTCGTACTATCAGTGCTGCCGGTTCGTTCAGCCTATTCATTCTTATATAATTTCAGAACTTGAAACTTATCAATCTTCGTTTGGAATGGGAAAAAAATCTCATTCCACTATTATTATTCAACTTTTTAATTCTTACATAATTATAAATTATTTACGTTCCCGTAAAAAGAAATAAAAGGAACCTCATTTTAATTGAAAATTTAAAATTTTCTATGAATGTCAATGCCATAATTTTTATATAAACATTATTTTAAAAAAAAACTCTTTATAATAATGACAGACTACAATTACGAGCTATAAAAATGAGTTTATATAAGAAAATAAAAAAATAACAAGAAAAAAGCAATTTAATTTTCTTTTATTCTGAAAATGATTGATATTTCAATTCATAGTGAATTTCTTTATGAATACTTTTCAATAAAAAAATAAAAATAATTTTTTTTTATGACTGCTTGCGTAATTTTATTACACTACGACAAAACAAATTTATATACAGCATGCACACACGTTTATTTATATATTATATTGGTCAATTTTTCAAAAATAAATTAAATACAAATTAATTTTCAATATGAAAATATTTTTTAGTTAACAGAATTAAACAATTTAATTAAGAGAAAAAATTAACAATTGTAACTATCAATTAGTAAAATGGCAATTAAAAAATATTCTCTAAAAATTTTACTTCATCATAAATGTTAGGTTTTGTTGAATGAAAATTACAACAATTCAAAAAATTTAAATAAATGGTATTCTTCATTGTAAAAACGCGCAATGAAATCCTTCAATTCAAATGACATACAAAATTTGGCGAATCCTACTACATAACTGTAACATATTTTCCAAACATAAAAATTAAGTCAAAACATAATTGAAATACACTATAATTTTTGGAAAAATTCAAAATTCTAGTGTATTATATTAGAAAAATTCATCTTGAAACATTCTAAATTGCATTACATTGATGGTTTATACAAAATTATCGCAATGTTTTTATAAATTTGTTCATATTATTTTAAAAATTTTATGTGATTATTATATAATATGAATATTATTATATCATACATGACGTATGATCTATGCATTATGTTCGAAATATAAAAAATAGTGAGAATTAAGATACAAGTATACAAATAAAATAAATATATGCATAATAAAATATAAAATGAAATTAAAATATTTTCGAAATTCTTTTTTAAAGTTTTGAGTTTTAAAAACAATATAATGTATGATATACTGCCGCATATATTCACATACAATATCACACACAATACATATTTACTTATCACAATTTATTTTCAAAAATTTTAAATCATAAATATAGAATATAACAATGGTTTACATTGAGCCAAGAATGCTTTTTGTTATAACCTTTTAAATCTATTGTTATATTACATAACTTACAAAAAATATTTTATCGCGTCTGCATAAAATATTTCACTAAAAATTTATTACTAGGATTTTGGTATTATTTTTATAGCCATCATGTACAATATATAAGTATGTAAATCATATATGTAATGTACAAGTATCTTTGTTATAATTTTTGTTCTTTTGTTTGTTTTATTTTTTTTTTTTTTGCTCGGTAGTTACAAAAAAGTAGTTTTCATTTTATTGCTTTATTTTATATTTATATAAAAGGTAGATAAATGAATAGGTTAACTTTACGAGGATATAATTTTATAACATGAGAAACTTTAAATAAAATAAAATTACAATGAATGTTAACGTTCATTCAATTTTCAAGCTTTAATTCAATTGTATTTATTGAGATGGTAAATACATTAAAAACAATTTGATGTGTCAGTTACTCTTAATTGTATAATAATTTTTGAGTAAAGATGAAAACTTTAATCGTTTTTAACTTGTTTAACATGAAAATAATTGAGTTCTATGTGCGAAATTAAATAACTTACATACTTTTAGGATTATAAATTTTATGACAAAAACGCTAATTTACACCGAAAAATAACCTATAAATCTAAATATTAAAGATTGTATGTTTTCTTCCAATACAAAGATGTGAATCCCTCTACCGGCATAAACTGACGAAATTGAGAGTTTTATACATTTATATATAGTTATTTGACCATAAATGAAACATTATGACATATGACAGTTTTAAAAAATAGAAATATTTAAAAGTTTCACTCAATTAAGTTAATTATGATTATTATTTGGTTAATTAATTCTTTGTATAGATTTTTTATTTTATACAAATATAAATCAAATTTATGTATACTAAAATAAAATATTTTTCTTCTATTATATAATATAGGATCCTGAAAAAGAGAAAACATTGGACCCATTTTATGAATCACAAGAAAATCATAATTTAATTGGTGTTGCTAACATATTCTTAGAAGTTTTATTTCATGATGTTAAATTGGATTATCATACACCAATTATAAGTCAACAGGGTGAAGTTGCTGGTCGACTCCAAATTGAAATTTCACGTACTGCTGGTCAATTACCTCAAGATAGAATGTGTGAATCAGCTTCAACAAATAGCTCAGATGATTCAAGAGATGATGATTACGTGAATGATCCAAGTCAAAATCAAATAACATGTCGAGTAACAATTAAACAAGCTTCTGGTTTACCATTATCATTATCAAATTATGTATTTTGTAAATATACATTTTGGGGACATCAAGAATGTGTTGTACCAGTTACGAATGCAGAAGTTCCAAATCTTGATCAAAATAGAACATTCAATTTTGAGCATACCAAAGATTATACAGTATCAATTAGTGAAGAATTTTTAGAGCATTGTGCAGAAGGTGCTTTATCAATTGAAGTATGGGGACATAGATCGGCTGGTTTTTCAAAAACAAAAGGTTGGGATGTTGAACAACAACAAGCAAAAGCTAGAAGTTTAATTGATCGATGGGCTGAACTATCAAGAAAAATTGAACTTTGGGTAGAAATTCATGAATTAAATGATAATGGTGAATATGCTCCTGTTGAAGTAACAAATCGTACTGATGTTTTAACTGGTGGAATATATCAATTGAGACAAGGACAACAGCGGCGTATTCATGTTCGTGTAAAACCTGTACAAAATTCTGGAACATTACCAATTATTGTTAATTCAATAATAAATATTGCTGTTGGTAGTGTTTCAGTTCGTTCAAGATTACAGAAACCATTAGATTCATATCAAGAAGAAGATTTAGCAGTTCTAAGGGATAAATGGAGTGAAGCATTAGTTAAACGCCGTCAATATTTAGATCAACAAATACAAAAAGTAATTAATAAGGAAGAAAAAACTGAAGAAGAAAAAGAACGTGAATTAAGTTTAGTTCACCAATGGGTATCATTAACTGAAGAACGCAATGCTGTATATGTACCAGCAACAGGTTCTGGTATACCTGGTGCACCAGCATCATGGGATCCACCACAAGGAATGGAACCACATGTTCCTGTTTTATTTTTAGATTTAAATGCTGATGATCTCTCAGCTCAAAATACAAATGATGATTTCTCTGTTGCTGGTTTAAATTCAATTTTGCCAAAAGAACATGGAAATAAATTTTATACATTACATATATTACAACATTTAGATAAAGATGTATGTGCTATTGCTAGTTGGGATTCTTCAATGCATGATAATTTAGCATTAAATCGTGTTACTGAAGCAACTGAAAGAGTTTATTTAATATTGAAAACAACTGTTAGATTATCGCATCCTGCCACAATGGATTTGGTATTACGTAAACGTTTAAGTTTAAATATATATAAACGACAAAGTATTACCGAACGTTTAAAGAAATTTCGTCTTGTACGTACTGAAAATGCTATTTATCAAACTGGTGTTAGATATGAAGTTGTTTCAAATATACCAAAAGCATCTGAAGAATTAGAAGATCGTGAATCATTAGCACAATTAGCAGCAAGCGGTGATGAATGTTCAGCAAGTGATGGTGAAACCTATATTGGTAAATTAATAATATAATATATTTTAGTAACAATATACATAACTAATATTCTTTATTTTTTAGAAAAATATACAAAAGGTGTATCAGCAGTTGAAAGTATATTAACATTGGATCGTTTACGTCAAAGTGTTGCCATTAAAGAATTAGAACAAACTCAAGGTCAACCATTATCAATTTCAATGAGGAAAACAGTCAGTGTACCAAATTTCTCACAAGTAAGTGAATATTTTCTAATAATAAATGCTGCTATTTTACGTCTTTTACTTTTACAAGAAATGTATTTTCTTAAATTTTTGAATTAAAAAAGGATTGTAAATTCCAAATACATATATTAATTATAAAATTTATAAACTTTTTTTTAGTAATTAATATTTTTTACTATAATCTTATTAACTACTAAGAAAAATTTTTTTTATATATAAACTCACAAGCTTTCTTGTTTCGTCTTTCTTTTTTTTTTTTTTTTTAATATAAATATATATAAAAAAATCTCTGTGTGCTTGCACTCTATTTGCAAAAATTTCACAAATTTTATTACTAACCATTAAAAAAAAATTAAATCTAAAAAAAAAAACTCTGAATAAAAAACGCACTGAAACTTAACACAAAATAAAAGGCGGTTAAAGATACAACCAGCACTAATAGTGTAAGTAATTTCAAAATAAAAGTTGAAAAAACAATTATAAAAAAAAAATTATTTTTTGTGATTTTGTGATTATAAATTCAAATTGCATAGCATTTTTTTTCTTAAGTTCAATATTCTTATTTTCTTTTTAAATATATTTTCTTTTTATTTGAATTCAAATGAATGTGTTAATTTTCTTTAACTTTTCTCAGAATAAAATCATCATATTCATTCATATCAAATACATAATATCATTTATAGAAAGTTCATTTAAAAAATACCATATTTTGATAATTTTTCTTTTATTAATGGAATTCATAACTGAAATCAACTGGAAATTAAACAATTATAATTATATTTAATTTAAATTAAATATAATATCACAAAATAACCTTGAAATCTCATTTTATAAGGGAATAATATGAAAAATTTATTAAAAATTAACTAAATAATTTTCTGAAATGTTTCAAGTAATTATTTTTGTGAAATAGGAATTTTACATATTTTAAGACACTACTCGGTTTAAGTGTTAAGTTAATAAATTAGTTAAAAAATATTTTCTATAAAATTTTCACTTTATTAGCATGCATCATCCATTGTAAATCCAAATCAAATATTCTACTTAATAAATGTTTTTTAAAATTGACTTTGAAATCATATAAAATATTACTAAAATATTATATAAATTGTAGAAATTAGTATTGATAACATTATAATTTTCCTTTATAAAAATTACTGTCATACTTGGGAAAAAAATTTGATTACTAAAATTAAAAACTATTTATTGATTTAGTCATTAATTGTAAATAAAATATAATTCCCGTATTTACTTTGATTAAAAACAAGATTATTTAAAAACCCCCATTTTCATTTTTTTGCCAACCCCATCAAAAAAAATATATTATTAAGAATTCCATTGAAATTTTGTATACATTTTTGTGTAGTTTTAAAAATTGATTTTTTTAGATTGTTAATCGCTTTTCATATCATATTATTTTATTTTTAATTTCCTTTAACAAATTCTTTTTTATTTGTAGAAGTAAAAATATACTTACATAGTTGTGCATAATATTATGTTCGCTAATTTATTTAAATTTAAATTTTTGTATTTTTCAATTTTTTCTAATTAATATTTTTAATTCTTATTAATATTTTTGTTTAAACAGATAATGAGATTTGATGCTTCCATGGAATCATTACTTACTGTTGGAAGATCTGAATCATTTGCCGATTTAAATAATTCAGAATTCAATTTGAGTCGATCCATTATTGGTCCACAATTTTTGAATCAAGCTAGTAAGTGCATTCATATGGTTATTTATATATATGAATACATATATTTAAACAATTATTTTATAAATCAATGAATGTAAATTAAATAATAATGAAGGTGATATAAATTTATTTTTTAAATTTGTGCAAATTAAATTCATATTTCAATCATTTAAGTATATAGAATTTTAATATAAGTAATTTATGCAAAATTTAAATCTACTATACACAAATTTAATTAAAAATAATTTGTTTCATAATATTTTAGGTCAATCTAGCGGTAGAACACGTCACAGTTTTGCCGGTAAAGGTGCAAATGATGAATCACCAGTTGGAAAATCATTTGGAATCGGTATGTTTTTCCTTTTTGGAATTGCTTTATAATGTCAAAGCAAAAAGAATTTACATTTTCCACCTATTCGCTTTTAATTTTTTTTCTCTCTTCAAAATAATTTTCAATCAAAATTCATTGTACTCGTACATCGTTGATAAAGCATATATATACAAACATATATATATGTATAATATTGTATAAATATATATTTTGTTAGGAGTTTCAGAAGATTAGCAAAATTTAGTTCAAAAAAAAAAAAAAAATAAAAGATTAATATTGAAAATTTCTAAAAAAAAATAATTCAGTATAATCATATATAGACTTCGGGTTTTGATGTAATTGTCTTCATAGCTTTTCAGCGAAATTTAAATGTGTGCTCTGTTTTTTTTCTTATATACCTAAATATTATATAAATAACTTATAAAATTTTCAAAAAAAATTTTAAATTGATTACTATTTCATATAAATTTTTTAAATTTGCAATTTTATAATTATATTGTAAATGTATTTTCTATAAATGTAATTTATTTTTACTTGTATATAAAAGAATTGTGTATAAAAAATTTTTTTCTTGTCTTAAAAAAAAAAGTTATTCCATTTCGCGAAAGCTTATTTTTATTTTTTTAATAACGCATATTTTTATATATGTGTTTAAGATTTATATTTGTTTTTATTAAATTTCTTTAAGCAAAATTTAAATTCAAAATTTAATATTAATAGCGAAATCATTTCTATATTCAAAAAATATGAATTGAATTGAATTTTTATAAAAAGCTTTTTTATAGAAAATTACTATATTTTAAAAACCTCAAATTGCATTGCATAAATGAATTTCTTAAATTTTCAACATTTTCTAAAATTTCTATAATATTTAATATTATCTTCAAAAAGCTCTATACCAAATTAATTTCTGCAATTTTTTATAACACTTTAATAAATTGAAAAAAGAAACATAGTTTAATTTTTTTTTGTAAATTGACAGAATGTTAATTATAGTTTTAATTACCTAAATATTATTTATTTAATTAAAATTTAAAATAATTAATTTTTATTGAATTAATTAATTCCTTCTTAAGAACAATATTTATAGACTTCCCAACCCCTAATTCTTCCATAACCAAAACAAAAAATTTAAAATTAGTTGCCCTCTGAAATTAGTTACCCTTTTAAAAATTATAATTTACCCTTAAAACAATTCAATAAATTTCCATGAGATTTAAAATTAAAAATTTTAGAACTAGTTTACATTATAGCAAGTTTAATTTTAGTATAAAAATAAATTCATTCTGTAAAATCATAGTAGTTTCTTGTCTTTGGAGATATGTTTTTTTTTTAGAAATAAAAATATAATTATTTCAATTGTATATTCATTTTTACAAAATTTTCTAATTACTTTGTAGGATTTTAGTATAGTTTATGAAATTAAATTGGTAATTTATTAATGAAATCGAAATTTAATAGAGAGATAATAGTTGAAGAAATTAATTTTTAGAATTAAAAAACAAATATATTTCTTTAATTCATTTAGAGTATCTCCAAAGATTATCTATTATTATTTTTATTTTTAAAATTTAACATTAAAAAATAAAAGCAATTCTAATAATGTTATTAACACAATTGTAATAATTATAATTTCCTATTTATTATTTTAAAGAACAAATTTTATTACGCATCAAATATTATGAATTCGCCATTTTAAAAATTTAAAATAATTATATTTATTATTTTCAAAATACTCGTAATTTGATTTGTTTAGGCTACATTGCAAATTTTTTTTTTTTATGAATTTCATGTGATCAACAATAAATTGCTTCTACAATTTTAAATTTTCAAATTATTTAAATCATATTTGAAGTAAATTATAAATTATTTTTCAATATGAGTGATTTTAAAATTTCTGGTCATTTGATTATTTCAATAATTTACAAAGCTGATGATTAGATTTCATTTTTATTTTAAAATAATTTGCAAAATTATTAATAATTCAAATAATTATTATTTTAATTCATATACATGTATGTTAAAACAAAAGAAAATGGCTATTTTCATTAAAATTAAAAGTGTTAATAACATTATAATTCAATTTTTTTTATTCAAATTGAAAACATTGCATTTAATAATCATTTTTACCATCCCCTTTTCTTTGGTTTTTCTCTTAATTTTTCGAAAATTTAAAAATTATCATATTACTTTAAAATCACATAGTAAATCTAATTTATTTTTCTTTTTCCAAACATTTTTTCAACATAAAATTTTCATTCAATCTCAAATTTTTTATAAAAAAAAATAAAAAAAAAAAAATAATAATTTACTTTAAAAAAAAAAAAATAAAAATTTAATTTTTATTACCTTAAATAATTTTTTAATTCACCTCCAACCACCACATAATTCACATCTACTGTGTTATTTTGAATTAAAAATGCGCGTGTCAAGGCTCTATACTGTCAGGTAAAAATCAAATTCAACAAAAAGTAAAAAATAATTATAAATAATAAGAATAATAATTAAAAAAAGAAAAAATTTTAGTTCAAAAGTTTGTTTTTTAATGAACGTTTGTTTTTTTTTTTTTTCAAATTTTGTTAAATTAATTATTTTAAAAACAAAAGGAAGATAATTTTACTTTTAATAACAAGCATTTAATACACTAATTATTGTGATGAAATTTTAAAAAAAAAAAAAATTTGAATTAATATTTCAAAATATTTACTAAAAATAATTAATTGATTTATTTTGTTTATTAATTTTATAATTTAAATATACTTAACATTGCAAATATTTACATTTGAAATATTAAATTTAAACATGATCGTGTGATACAAATGCATTTCTGTCATATTTATTATATAAATATATAAATATTATGTTTAATATTTAAATTATTATAAAATAAACTCTTTTTTTATCGCTAAATTTTATTTTTTTCTCTTTTCCTTTTTTTTTTTTGGTTCCTAAATGTATTTAACTTGTTTTTTTTTTAATTGGCATTAAAATATAACTTTGATTCTAATTTTTCTTTTTAATCTCCTTCTATTTTTCTAAATGTTTGAATTTGTTTAAAACATTATGAATTTATATTTTAAAAATATAAATAAATTATAATAAAATACGTACAACTTATTTAAAAGACAATTATAAAATTATATATTAAATTTCCAATAAAAATGAAATATTTGTTTTTTGAAATATTTGTTTAAATGTTAATCAATAACAACCATGTATGAAACATATACAATACATAAATTTAAAATATGACAAACAAACAAAAAAAATAAATTAAATAAAAGCGAAGAACTTTTGCTGTATAGCTTCCTACATATATATATATAATGTTAATGAAAAGAAAGCCAGCTTTTGCTTCACAATTTCTTTTTTTTTATTAAAAATTTAAATATATACATATTTTAATCCTATATTTTTATGATAAAAATTATTGTTACATAGCTACATAATTGTTAATGTAATAATATAAAATCTATTTATCAAGAATTATAGTCTAAACAAAGGTTTGATTTAAGTTATTAGCTTTATTAGAAGGAAAATATACTTGACACATTATAAAAATTTTCCTTAATTTTGTGTATTGAGATTTAAAAAACTCTTCCAATAGTTTAATTTTTCAATAATCAAGCATTAAATTTAATGCATACGTAAACAAAAATACTTTACTAAATAAATATAAAATGAATTTAAACTCTTCGTTCCAACAATTTTGTAAAAAATAGAATAGAATAATCAACAATAATTGCATTAACTCAAATACTCACATATTACATTGGTAGTATCCAATAAATTTATGTATAAATTTTATCGTTTAATAATTTAATTATAAATGTAAGGGTTAATTTCAAATATCAATATAAATTTGAGTTTTAATTGATTTCATCTTAGATCTATCTACAATAATTAAATAAAGATTAGGAATATTCAAAAAAAAAAATAAATTATATAATCAAACCCTTTGTTTTATTTCACAGAAACTTTTTTCAAGCGCTTTATATATCGCACGCTTACAAGATTCATAAAAAAAAAGTTAAGCTTTTTCTTTATATATTATTATCAATATTTTTACACGTTCCCCACTGCTAATAGAAGCTTTAATTCGTTTCTTTTTGTTTATAAAAATTAAAAATTATATAAATAATATTTACAACTACATTCTTTATATGGAATGTTTAAAATAAGAAATCAATTGTATGATTGTTCACAAATTATTATGAATATTTTTAATTTTTATTTTCAATTGTAATTTAAACCTTATTATACTTTATTTTTAATTATATTTTTTATTGAATGAAATAAAGCAAAGTTCTTCGTTTTAAATTCCACATAAAATTTGAATTAATGTTAATTATGTTGGAATACGTAATAAGAAAACATAGAGGCTTGACTGATTTTACAAAAAAAAAAAAGTTCCTAAATTTTTTTTTCTAATTTGGAGGCTTTTTTTTTCGTTAATTTTTTTCTTTTACTTGTAAACGTTTCCAAAAAGACAAATCAGGTTTTAAAATTACTATTAAATTTAAATAACAAAATTAAATTACAGAAAATAATTTAAAATTTACTATTAATTATATTATATTTTATAAAAGAAAGATAATGTATTATTAAAAATTAAATTATATGAAAATAAAAAAAGAAACCTGATTTGTCGGTGAGTATTATTAAAATAATTAAAAGTTTTGTTAAAAAGCTAGTTTTGGATAGTTTTTTTTTATATTTTAGAATTATAGTATTAGTTTTAGTTAAAAATAGTTCAATGTTAGATATTAAAATAATCTAGATTATTATTACAAGAATGAATTTGCACTTCATTGTTTTTATTTTAATTATTTAATAATTTTATAAAAGCTATGCTATGCAAAACATCATTAAAACCTTAAATTTTTATCAAATCATCAATTCATTATAATTCATTTATACTTACATCAAATAAATTACGCACATTTCAATCATAATAACATTATAAGAAAAATAATCATATTCAATTAAAAATTCACCTTCATCCTTTTTCAAAATATAGAAATTTATAATTTTCTCATTTATACATTGTTACGTTTTATAAATTAAAAAAAAAAGAATTTTAAACTTATAAGTATCTACCACACTTACAAATTAAAATTAGTTTAAGATTTCTTAGGTAAAAATAAAGAAAATATTTAAATAAACTAAATTAATTATGCTTTATAAATAATTTTAAATTGCTGATTATATAAAATCGTGAGCAAAATATTTTATTGTACAATTAAAAAATTTAAGTACATTTCAATATTTTGTTTTTTTCTAACCCTAATTACTCTTCACTAATACCCCTGAAATATGACCAGCGTATTACTTTGTTAATATAGTTATTTCAATCAATCAATTTATATCAACTATTGTAATACATATAATTAAATTTTAATATATTAACGACTATTATTATTAGATTTATATGCATTTTAATATATTATTGCAGTAAAAATATACACACGTTATTCGCGTATAAAAAATATTTATTTATAGGCGTAATTAGTAAACTCTAATCCTACTTATTTATTCATTATACTTTTTAGATTTTTGGAAAAATAAATATTTAGAATTGTTTTAATACATAAAAGAACTACTTTTATGGCAGTTATAGAACATAATTTTTCGAGTGTCATAGCTCATTTGACAATTTTCTTAATTTAGTTATATTAATTTTAATGAATGAGTGCTGTCTGTCTTGTGACTTCTTAGTAAAATGCCCAAATGTATAACTATTTAATAGAAACTCAAGAGTGTTCAAATAAAATATTAAGAATTGAAAAAACCAAATTTAAAACATCAACTAGCATATTCTAGTTTTAAAATTCGATTGTTACAAACTCAATTTTGAAACTTTGCTGAATTCGAATATAGCAACCCGAATACCTATATGACAAATTTAAATCCGATAAGTAAACCGAGAAAAAAAATAATGTCCCGTGCTAAATTCTTCGTATTAAATTTTGATCATTTTTATGACTAATAACAGTGAAAATATTCCGTTAATTGTATATCTTTGAAAAGTTAAGGCATTAAACTTATTTTATAGATATCATTTTGCCCTCGTGTTATTATTTAATATTTTTTTTCATTAAAAAAAAAAAAAACTATATTATAATTTCGGTATTTATATTATAAGTACATGCGTCTTCAAATATAAAAGCTTAATTTAAACAGGATTATTAAAATTAAGAAGACTTTTTATTTTAAAATAAAAATAATTTCCTAAATAATTTGGTAAAACACTTTTCAAAAGCCCATCATCATTTCATTGTACTTTTGTGTATTTATGTACATAATACATATAACCTTAATATAATTCTATGAAATCGTGAAAAGACATTACAACATTAATTTTTATTTTACCAAAAATTTCATTTCCTGGCAATAAGTTTGAAACTATTTTGCACACAAAAAACAAGAATGAAATCCAAGACTTAAATTACACCTAGTAATTAAATATATATTGTTGTTTAAATTTTTTTTTAAATGTTAGAAATTACATATATGAAAATGTATAAATAAATAAATGTTAATATAGTAACATAATTATATAATTTTTTTCACCACTAAGACAGCACCAAAGAAAACACCACTCTACTATTAAAACAGTAGATAAATTTCATGTTTTATATTAAAAAAAAAAAAAAAAAAATATTACAAATATCTTTAAAAATTTAAAAAATAAAAACAAAAAATTTCTGTTTTATTTTCTATGTTTATTTTATTTTTCAATTATTAAATTTTAATTAATTATGTATATTAAAATATACATATATAATTATTATAATATTAATATTTATCGTTTAAATATATTTGTTTTAGAAATTAAATGTTTAGAGAATTTAATTGAATTTTGTATAACAGAAAAAGAAAAGAATGTGTTAAAATTTTATTTAATTATTTATTTATTTTTTTTGATCTTATTTTAATTAAGAGGAAATTTTAAAATATTATAAATTTTCATTTTAATTTCCTTTTATTATGGAAATGCAGCTCGGCCAACATTCTTAAATCTCAGTTTGAATTTGAATTCACTGAGAAATCCACCAACAACAAAACGTATGTGTTTTTGATGTATACTCTATTATTGCCAATAATTCACAATATGTCTTTCTTATTTTTTTTTAAGCTCTTGTTAATTTATTTTTTTTTTGTCATTATTATTTAAATATATTATGTTATAATAGTCCAAAAGTCTATCTTCATATACTGAAGAATCATTTAAAAAATCTAAATATAAAATAAGGGAAGAAGTAAAATAATTGTCAGTTCTTCAGGCGTCTATTTTAATCAGCAATAATATTTAGTTGCTTACTTGTTTAAACGCTACTTGAAAGAGATGATTTTTTAAAGTCAAACAATAAACAATAGTTATCAAACTTCTAATTAATAAATTTTAAGTATTTTATTAGTAATTATACAAATACATTTGAATTTCTTTATTTTAACTAGTTAAGCTAGTTAAGTGAACAATATGTGACAATTATGATTCATGTCGCTCTCAGCTCCGTATAATGATATAAAATTAACTATAAATTATTTTTTAACTCTGGCATATTTATTTTGTAAAAACAAGAATAAATATACGAATTACATTTTATAAGAGAATTACGCTTACAAGGAACTTCAATTCTTTCAAAAATAAACACTTTCATATTTCAAAAATCTTTATTTGTAAGAATTTTTATGAAAGTGTTAAGGTAACTTAATTCCGACTATTGGACTTAAAACTATTCAATTTATTTTTTTTTTTTCTGATTTTATTATGTATATTTTTTATAATTTGTTTTGTACAATTTCAATAATATATGGTTTATTATATTTGTTGTATATTTGTTTTTAATGCAAGAATTATAAATTTTCTTCTATTCTAAATGTTATGTTTATTATAAAATTTTATTTTTAATTAAAAAAAAAAAAGAAATAGTTTTCATTATGAAACCCATTATTTTATTTCTACCATACTATTATTCTTTTATTTTCTTTAATACTTTTCTTACACTTACTTCAATTTATTTCTTTATTTTCTTTCCGATCTTAATTTATTCTTTAAAATATTCTTGAACTCTGATATGTTTTCAAAAAAAAAAAATATTAATGTAATGCAAATGTATTTTATAAAAATTGAATATAGCATCACCTGCAAGCAGTAAACTTGTTGGAATGAGAATGACTACATTGCATGAAGAACCGATGGGACATCGATCATTAACTGAAGAGCCAGAAGATAGCTATAGTGACCCAGAATACGCTGAATTTGAATATGAAAAAACAGCCCAAATTGCTAGAAATAAATATAGAATGTCTGGCTCAAAAACAATGGATTCCTTAATGGATATTTCAAAATTATCAAATACAAATACCATGAATTACCCTTCGGCTGCAACGAATTCTGCTTTAAAACATGTTACGAATGTCGCTGGCATGGGTACACCAAGTATGAATTCTTCTACATCAAGTGGTTACGGATCTCAGGCAAGTATATTATTTCATTTTTTAATCAAACTAAATTATTTAAAAATTTATTAATATTAAAATTTTTTTTTTTTAAAGGCGGTATCTTGTAGTAATTTAACAAATGACGACACTTTATCAACAAGGTCAATGAGTGTAGATGAAACTGCTTCATCAACAGGTAATGCTAATGTTATATCGTCATCCAGTGGAGGTGAACAACCAAATTCTTCAACGACTCCATTATATACACCAAATAGTCGGCAGAAACGTTTTAATCCATTCATGAAAGAATTACCTAGCTGTGATAAGGCTGATACTATGACAACAGAAACATTCCATTCACCACTCATGAAAAAATCACCAATTACACCCTTAACTCCAACAAAATCACACCCTCTTGAGGATTTAGCTAATCCAAGCAACGAAAGTGAGCATTCCGATGAGAAAGATGAAATACATTCCAAATTGTCTGAGAAAAAGGAAGAGAAAGACAATATGAATAATGATAAAATGAGTGAAACAAACAACGATAAAAAAATGAATGAATACAATATTATGGAAACATCAACAACAATTGAAGATGACGAAAACAAGAATAATATTCAATTGAATGAAACACATAATAATATAATTGGCAAAACAATAGAACCTATATATTATCAAGAAAATCAAGAAAAACCACATCAAAATCATATTTATCATGAGATGGACGCAAATCATAATGAAAATGAAATTATTAGCAAATTAAATTCAGATAAAACAACCACAACAACGACTGAAAATTCTGCCAAAGAAAGTATACCAAACGAAGGTAGTGGTATTGTTAAAACCCAACTACCACCTGGAAAAGTGGTACGACGAAAAAAGCAGAACGGAAACGGGGATTCTTCTGCAAAAACAAGATCGAACAGCTCACAGAGAGCGTCGATGCCGTCAATGAAATCAATTGATATAACTAAATCTAATGAAAAATTAGATGTCCATACTGGAAGTGAAACAGACTCAACGGAAAAACTAGAAGGTAAAAAATAAATTTTAGTTAACCGAAAAACTTTGCCAAAATAAACCCTCATTTTTCTTTCAGATTTATCCTCTATTCCTGATTGGGTAGTTGTCGGTGAATCAGTTTTAATTCGTCCATATAATACAAGTGGTATTATCAGTTTTATAGGTCAAACACATTTTCAAAATGGTATTTGGATCGGTGTAGAATTAGATACACCTACTGGCAAAAATGATGGTACTGTTCAAGGAATTCCATACTTTCATTGTAAACCAAAACATGGAATATTTGTTCGATCAGATAAATTAATATTAGACAAAAGAGGAAAAGCAATGAGGGCATTCAAAGCTGAGAAAATGATAAAATGTAAGTATTTCCAATAATAAAATATCACTTGAGCAGCTCCTAAAAAAAATTATTCATCCATTAATACAAGGAAAAGATTAATTTTCTTGCTTAATATTTTAAAAATATACCTTAATAAAGAAATTCCGCTTAAATTCAGTCGAGTTTACAATAACAAATACTTCTTGTATCTAACTGACTATAAGTTGATTTAATTATAATTTTTTTTAAATATAATAACACAACTTCATCTTTTTTTATTGTATGAATTATATTTAGCAGCTGATAGCAGCAACTTATCACGTAGCCGAGGCGAATCAATAAATGTTCTCGGTGCAACGCGCAAATGATTATATCCGAATTGTTTACATCAAAATTCATTATCATTAAACCATAATAATAATAAATTGCCAATATCTGATACATTGTCACAAAAACAACGTAAACAATATTCACATTGTCATGGTCAACAACAACAGTTATCAAATCATCAACAACAACAACAAGAGCATCAAAAATGCCGTCGCCCATACTGCCGACAATTTAGTCCAATACCATCTCCATTAGTAACAACACCTACATTCTCTGTACAACAACAGCAACAATCGAATTTACGTTCAACATCAGTATCAGGTCGTTTAGAAAATAGATCACCATCTCGAACATGTGCAATAAAAGAAGTTTTAACTCCAACAACACTACTTAATCCAGTTATAAGATCAGTTTCATTGACAAGAACAGCAGAAAATTCAATTTCTTTAAGTAATAACAGTAAACAGCAAACAGAATTAAAACAGCAACAACAGTCATTAAGGCACCACGAACAACATCATTCTGTTTCATCATCATCATTGAAACATTCAATAAATAAATCATCGTGTAGTACACCAAATTCAACACCTGTCCATTTTTTAGCATCAGTAAACATGCATAATAATAATAGAATTCTAGCCAAAAATAACAAAAAATTAAATCGACGGTCAAACATTTTTTAAAATAAATAGTATATAATTATTTAATTACAAATAAATATGCAAAAAATTAATTGAAATACAATAATAATTAAAAATTAAAATTTTATAATTTAGTTAAAAAATAGCTATGTGAAAAATTTTCGCTTTTTTATTTGAAAACTTATTTTTTTTTTATGCTTTTACAGTAAATTTTAAATAATTTTATGTTTAATTTTTTTAAAATTAATTTAATTTTTATTAAAGTTTCACATTTAATAAAAAAATTATTTATTTAATGGTGAAGAATAACAGTAATCAAAAAGCTATTGATTCGATTAAATGTTTTACAAAGGTCAAATATAAAAGTTTCATTATGTTACTTGCGTTAATATGGCCAGATAATTTGAACATTAAATACTTCACAAATGTAAATATTATGTAATTTATTATAATTATATAATGAAAATCAAAAAAGAACACTTTAAATTCCTAAAATTATTCAGATTAATTAAATTCGTAGAGTGTTAATTCACTTATGTATTTATAAAACGAAAATTTTAAAAAAACTGGACAATTTAATCAATTGATTTCTTAAAGTATTATTTAATTTTTTGATTATTATATCTTTTTTTGGAAAACAAAGTAAATATGTATATACATATATACTTGAATATTTAAAAAATAAATTAATGGAAATTATATTGAAAAAGAAGACAAAAAAAAATACAAGCCACAAATATTTATTGCAATATTTTAATATTAAAATAAAAAAAAAAAATTAATATTTTTTTAAAAAAGAATAATACAAATAAAAATTAAATTAATTAAATTTAACAAAAGTATAAATAAATTTAAGATAAACATTAAACAGAAGACAAATTGTATAATTACAAGAAGAAAAAAAAACATAATATATATATATAAAAAAATAAATAACAAAAAAATATTATTTTTATCATTCATAGAGTAATATTTTACTCAATTATTTTTAAATATAATATTTAATAAAAAGATGAAAAAAAAAATTATTAAAAAAGAAAACACAAACAAACGCTTTTTATCATTATTAAATAGAAATTATAATTAGTTATAAATAAAAACAATTAATAAGTAATGAAAAAAAAAATATATAAAATAATTAAAACTGCTTCATATGCATATCTTTAAGTTTAAATTCTTAAAAAAATTAATTATGTAATTGATTAATGTAGAAAAGCGAATGATAGAGAAAGCATTAAAAAACGAAAAAAGGAAGAAAAAAAAATACCAATAATATTTTATTTAATCTTTAATTATTTTAATTAAGTATGAAGGTTATTTTTTTATATATATATATACATATATATTTTTCCCCATTTTTTTTTTTGGCTTATTTTAAATTTTCATAAATATAAAAAATATATTCAGATTTTCTTTTTGTTTATTGTCTTGCGCTTTAATAGTTCATTATTGTTATTTGTTCGCCTTAGATGATTTAATTTCTGTTCTATATTATTATACTTATTGTAAATTGTTAACTATTAAGAAAAGTGATGTTTAATACGAGTTTTAATTAAAATAATTATTTTGACACATTAATTAAATGGTTAATATCATAAAATATAAATAATAAATACAATTTAAAATTTTTAAGGATATTTTTGCAACATGATTTTGTTTTTTCCTTTCGTTTTTCGTTTAAAAAGGAATTTGTTTTGAAATTATTCTATTTTAAAATATAAATTGTTTTAGAGTATTTAAATTGACCTTTATTGAATAATAATTTTTGAACAAGCTTTTATCTCATAAAACAAATAAGTATTCCATAACATTGTGAAAGTTTTTCTAATAGCAAATATTCAATACGACAATTATTTCGAAAATATTTTGCTCAAGCTATCGAGAAAAAAAGTCAGCCTTAAGCTTTTTTTCATAAACCACTACTTGTGATTATAAAATGAAAAAAATCAACTCTATATTCGTTTCCGATTATTAAATTTTTAATTTTTATAAATATACTATGTTATATTTAATAAAAGTTATTTTATTTAATAAAACAAAAGATTTATTAAACATTTCTTATTGTGATTTTAATTTTGATAGCTTTACAACGATAAATGTAATTATATTAATTTTTAGCAATAAACTTTTGAGATTGTTCTTCGAAATTATTTTTGTATTTTAATTTTTTATTGTTAAATATTCTATATTATGCATAAATATATATTTTAATTTTAAAAACAACTAAATTAATTATATTAGGAGAATAAAATTGCAAAAAAAAATTTATAAATTACTTAGAATTTAGTTGTCCTGGTGCAAAAATATTCTTTTAAATTTTAGTATTTATGTATATATATATATATTATTAAAGAAACTTGTGTATTTCAATTTATATAAAAAAATATTTTAAGTTTAAATATTAAGTTTAATTTGATGTTAAATGAACTTATTTAGACACAAATTAGAGAATAAGATTTTTTTGCTAATTTTTTTTCTTTGTGACATTGTTTAACGAAAAATATTGTGATTTTTCATTTTTGTTTTAGCTTTTTTTTTATAGTTCATTACCCATGTTTTTATAAAAATTTAAATTAACTTTAAATAAAATTATGCTTGATGAGATAAATTATTCCTATTTAAATAAAAACATTATATAAATTACAATTTACATATGCAATAATTATGATATTGCCAATTTAAATTCGATTTTGTTTTTTCAATTTCTAAATATTTCAAATAGTATGTATACTAGTGTAGTATACTAGTACGATGTACACTAGTATTAATAAATCTAATATTTTTTCGAAATTTTTGAAAAATTTTGAAGTAAACGTTAACTATATATTGATATGAATATTATATTTAATATTAAATCAATTTTGCATAATTATATTAAGTTGTAAATTTATTTTAAATGTAATCTAGTTTTGAAATAGAAAAAATTAAAATTTGAAATAAATCATGAATAGTTTCGATCATTAAACATAATTTTATTTGTTGTATAATTATTTCATATAAATTTGTTTAGTAATTTTTTTAAGTAAAATAGTAATAATATTAAATAATTAATTATAATATAAGAACGAAATTACAACGTAAATCAAAAGAAAAATATATTAAAAATTGAAAATAATTTAGTTTTATGAATTAAAATAAAATGTAAAAAATATTTAATATTAATATTGTATATTTAGCATTAAATATCCTTTAATTTTTTTTATAATTATTAAGGCTTTCAATGTAAATTTATTTAATATATCGTATATTGTTTTTATAGGAAAAAGAATATTTTAGTTAATCATAATCTTTATTTTAATTATTTTTTGAAGTTATAGTTTTTTTTTTTTTTTGTCAATGTGATTTATTTTATGAAAACAAAACAAATTATATGCATATATATCAAATATATAATTTAATTTACAAAATTATTTTTTTTAATTTGTTTTATTTTAAATTTAAATATTATTTAATTTTTTTTTGTTTTTATTTTTCCAGATCCTTGTTAATGTTTTTATATTTTGGATGTTCAATAATTTTCAAGAAGAATCACAAATATTATATTTTAAAAGTTTTATATAAACTAATAATTAAATAAAGAAATAAGTATTCATCAAATTATTTCGGTATCTTAGCAAGAATTCACATTATTAAGGTTTTGAAGGCCTACTGAAGAAATAAAAGAAAGAAGATTAAAGAAATTGGAATAGGTATTATGAAATCTATCGGAAACAGCCACAAAAAGTACCAATTATGAATGTCTACTAACGATACTATTGCTTTCTATTGTTGAAACTTTTCTATAAAATTTTTATTTTTAACATATTTTTTTTCTTTTTAATAAATACAATCAAAAATTCGAATGTTACTTTTTATATTAAGACGAAAAATACAGAAAAGTTTTTTTACTTAACTATCTAAAAAAATTTCTAACTATACAGTCAAGGCTTCAATTTTCACAATTGAAATTTTCAATTAAAAAAATTATAACTATTATATCCATTCGTTTTTGTTTTCTTGAAACGTGTTAATAAATAAATAAAAAACAGAAATTAAAGTGTTATGATTCTAGTAAGATTTTTGAGTTCTGCTTTGAAATTTAGTAAAGTGCTTATATACCTTCTAACTACATATACAATTTTCAAAATAGAAAACATTTTCATAAAATTGCGAGAATATTGAATAAAACGGATTAATAATAGTGCCTAAAGAAGAAATCAATGTAAAAAAAATTTTACCATATTTAAAAATAAAATTTTAACTAATTATGTATTCTGATTGAAAAAATAAATTATTATAATAAATATATATATATATATACTTTTTTTAATATTCTACCTCCCTGTATGAAGTTTTTACTTTTGGTAGTTATATTAAATAAAATTACACTTTTATTACAATTAATTTTTAATTTTAAAAAAGTTTTGTTTTTTTTTTAATTTAAGTACCTATAATCTTTTGTTTCATTTTGTTGTATAAAATTTTTTTTTTCTATTTTGCGTGTTAATAAATTACAAGTTGTACATAATATTATTTTATAAGCAATGCAATTAACAAAACCAAA